ACACACAGACTGTGAGTGAATTGTTTGCCTCCCATTAAATTTCGGCCCAACCCTGGATTGCATGTCGCATCTACGCCCGCGGTAGGTATCCAATATTCGGGCATGCGGTCTACTTATTCTTGTAGCTCTGCTGCATAATTCTGCAACGCGGCAGTAAGATGAATGGTGGATGCAATCACCAGAGCCGTCCACCTTTTGACTGTATTTCATTCATTCTTCTGGTACCATTCGACAGAGCCTTCAAATCGGCCGTTGTATTTTCGCTGAAACATCTTTTTTACTCAATTCCCTGCCGATTTATTAGTTTCTACTAAGTATTTCGGCAGTTTCTTCTGTTAGACTATGTAGTTGATCACTTGAGCTGTTTTCTGTCAATTTTTAAAATGACTGTGACATTGCACGTACTGCGCAGTTTTTGTTAATTTCGGCCTTGAAGTCATAAAATAAAGTATCAAAAAGTGTTTTTTGTAACTCAATGCCCGATTGGCAAACTAGTCTCCAACCCTGTACTGCCACCTGGATGCAAATACGGTTGATTCCATGTTATTTTTAGTTCATCCGTAGCGACTGTTGCAAAATGCTGAAAGTACACCTACTCGTATACATAAAGCTTCTAGTGATGTGAATTGCGTCTCGAAGCACACTTCATCTGTTGTATTTGCGTTCTCAATCCGAATGTGGCCGGTCACCTCTCTCAAGTGCCGGTGTACATCATGTGTAATCCCTATTTACACAACTAGTCGAGTTGAATTGTTGCACTTCTTCAATTCAGATGAGCGATTGGAGCGTCTACTGCTGGCGGAATCTCTTTTCCTGTATCAACTTGCTACGCATTCTCAATATGTTAACTAAGTGGAAACATTCTCGGACAATGGTGAGTTCGTCATAAGCTCTGTTCTTGTTTTTTCCACAAGTTCCTCTTCATACAAACCGTCACTTTTGTCTCTCACCACCTATCTATATTCAGCTTCTTGTCGTATTCAAATCCGCTCCGATTTTAAAACGCGCTTTACGCGTCCGTCACGCAATGCTGCAGCTATACGTACTGAAGCTTCTCAAACTACAGAGCCGTTATTTTGGTCGACAGTGGCGCAAGAATAATATGCCCATTATGTCCGCGATTTATCAGAAGGTCCGCCATCGTCTAACAGATGACTGGGCTTACGGAAACGGTGGGTTGTTTCCATTTCTCTCCATTCACGTCATATAGGTTATAATTTTTATGATTACTCAAGTCTGTCATAAATCGTTTATTCTAACGTACTTCAAAATTTAATTTGCTCGGAGTCTATCCTGTCCCTATTCTAGATTTCTGTAGGATTCCCTTTCGCAAACTTTTATGATGTTACACATTGCCATCTGATATTAGGATTGACTCTACTTATTTTAATTATGCCGCGGTTTTAAAACATCCTCATTCTTTTCGATAAATTGGACCTTATTATCAGTTGACCGCTGGTAAAAGTTGTTTTCGTCGCCCGCACTCCTAAAGCTTGTGGGACTACATTTCACCAATCATTTCGATCGCATGTACTGTCTTCGCATTCAGCCTTCCAGTTTACGTTGAAGCGGATTAGCGCGAAACTTTATGTTACAGGTGCATTTACTTCAAAGCAAATTGTAGCCTCCATCGAGATTGCGTGTCGCAGTTCAAACACGTGGCGGGTACTCCAAGACACAATAATGAATCGCACTTGCTTCGTTATGCGTTCACTGTAGGACAAAATCCCACTTCGCGGCTTATATAGGGGTCCATCTTGTTTGTTGATTAGTTTTTCCAACATCAGCTGACTTTCTGCATATTGTTTCTGCTACGGGTCTCGTTTACCCAAGGTAAGATCATAGGTCGACGAATTCTTGCCCTTCTGAAACGCTTACGAAAGGCGTTTAGCGTCCTCCCCCTCCAGCATGCCATCTAACATCGTTTAATGGCTCAGCATCTATACTGTTTGGTTAGTGTTTGATGTATATCTTCATGCTATAGGTCAGCTCCGACTGTGCCATATGGCATTGATAACAACTTGCCCGTTCTTGTGTTATCACCACTTCAGATGCTGGGTTCAGACGACTGTCTATTTTTGTCCGCGCATCCACGCGGCCGTGTCGCACCTAAAAAATGGCACTTCGACGAATGTGGTCTTAGCTTTTCCACTCTACCTTATATGATAGACTGGAAAGGTAACTCCGTATCATCGTTTATCGACTGTTATCCTCGTCCTTCAGAATGTCAAAACATGGTATATCTAGGTCACCGACGCATATATACTAACATTTCTCGAAAGTGTTGGAAATTTTTCCTAAATTAGGAACAGATCATTTTGTACAGAAATGATCATGCTCTTGTATGAGTGCATGTTGACGCCAATTTTTAGCGTTTTATATATTTTTGGACAATCCGGGAATATTTCATCGGGTGCGTTATTGGATGCGAACATGGATATTAACACTTCTAGATCTAACGACTTGTGGAGTTTGGTGTGGAATTGTGGTTCCACAAAACGCGGGAAAAGTTGGATTGCATAGTTGTTCTAGCCCTTGGTATCAGTAGCGTAAATATTTTGTTGCGAAGTCTGTGATAGTTATTGTGTTTTATCTCTTAGGTAGGTAAGAAGGTATTTTCTGTCGCAGCAAATTGTGAAGGGGCATCAACTATTGCTTTAAACATCGCAGCCAGATTGAAGTGACTCGGTATGAAGCTGCTCGCAATGTTCGCGACAGTTTGGTGAATCACCTCTGCAAATTTTCTGTAGATTTCCTGTCTAGCTTCCGCATGCTGCCATAGGTGCAGTTGCAGTATTGGAGAATAGGACAAGTGAAGGTTTTAAATGGTTCCAGTCTGATAAGGACTGTATGGATTTTGTGGCATATATTAGCCACGGATTGTTTGGCTCGAACTATTTGGTACCTGGCTTGTACAGAAAAGCGGAAGTCGGAGGAATATTGGATCCGAAAATCACAGATTACCCTATATGCACACTTTTGTTGTAAATTTACTTGACCCATCGAGGATCGAGCAACCTCATGACATAATATTCGATTTGTCGGTCGAAAATCTTATCAGCCACGTCTCATGCTGTTCTTCAAGAGATTGAAGATCTTGAATTCAAGGTAGTGTGCTCTTAATCGCATCATACCGGAGCTTATCAACAATTCTGATGTCATCACTAACTAGCAAGAGTTGGTCACTTTTGATAGACATGCTAATATCATTGATGTAGCGGAGAAAAAGCAGTGCCAATTACAGTTCCTTAGGTGACGCCGCTAGTAATTGAGCTAGGTGAAAAGTAGTGATCACCCATAGTGACTATTTAAGACCGACTGCTAAGGATTGTGGTAAGCCAATTTAAATTGGCGGGTTCTAGATTCCAGTGAATTCAACCTTTTTCAACAACTGTTTGTGTTGTATATGGTCAAATGCTTTTTCTAAATCTATAAACAAACTTATTATCGCATAACCAGAGTTGCTGGATTCTGAACTGTAGTTAAGGTAGTGTAACTGGCAGGTGGTGCAGGAACGTTTGTCAAAGAAACCATGTTGAGTTGTGTTAAACAGGTTCAGAGAATTTAGGAATTCCATCAACGTTTTATTAGCTAAACTTTCAAACAGACTGGCGATTGGGGAAATATGGTAAATCGGCTGTTACTTGACAGCTTTTTACTTGAGACCGCTTTTCTGGCGTGGTGTAATGGATGCAATTTTCTATTGCGCAGGAGAATAGCTAACTTTTAGCCCTAAAGGGAACATATTTAGCAAAAGTATTGATACCTCTTACCTTTCCATTTCAATATCAGTTAAAGGGATGCCATCGGAATCCAACCTGAGGGAAAGTTTGTTTTTATTAGCTACTGATTAGTGCTGAGAGGAATTTCGACACTGCTTAGCCCTTGGGTTGTTGTGGATTAAGGGCATCCAGTTATGGGGTCAGATTCAAAAATCATGGAGGCAGCAAAGAAAGCGCTAAGCACCTCATGATTGCAATTGGGTCACTAAAGGATTAACCATGTTTATCCAAGAGTCGCGTTAGAGGAAAAGAGCTATGGCTGGTTATACGAAGTAGAATAGCAGCGAGTTTCTTTGTTTTGCTACCCGTTTGTAGAGCATTTTCTTTCTCATTTTTGAGTCGTATGGCTTGTTCATGTTTGATCCTATTGATCCAATCATGCATTTGCAGTATTGTTGAAAAGTCTCCGGTCCTGTGCAATCTTACTAGCAATTTTCGCGTCTGTTGGGTGATTAAACGTTCTTTTGCATTCTTAAAGTCGTAGGGAACACGTTCACTTTGTGCAGTAAAATGGGTCATGGCATAGTAGATGTTGGTATAGAACTACGCTACTGTTAGACAAACATTAGTGGATAGAAAATACGTATCCCAGTCGGAAGATCGGACCAGCTGTTGGAGGTGTGTCCAACTTATTCCTTTGATAGTATATTGTGGGAGCGTGTCCAGATGGACATCTGATCTGATCTTGAAAATAAATTGTAATATTCTGTGGTCACTACCTCAGAGACAGACCGCAGATCGATGTTTGCGTCGACGATTCCTAGTGTAAGTATTAAATCAGGTACGTTAGTGGACCTAGCAGGTTTTGTAACCCATTGTATCTATCCTCTAGCCATGGTGGTTGACAGTAAATCTGTATTTTCTGATGAAGATGAATTTGGTGACCAAGTTATTTTCGGGAAATTGAAGTCTCCAGCTACTATTTTCTGTTTGTACGGCCGCACTGATGCCAAATGTTATGCGGAGCAGCTAGTGGCAACATCACCAGTTGGGACATTTGGAGGGTTGTGGATGCATCCGAGAATTACGTAGTGAGAACTGCTAGTGACAAGTGACCACAGCTAGTTCGGGACGTTTTCTAGCTTATGGCGATCAAAAAGTATCCCTGTGAATGTTCGATGCATATATCTAATACATCCGTTCCCATATCTTGTGCAGCGATCTCTACGAAACACTTGGTATTTTTGAATTGTTAGAAATGAATCCAACGTATTAGTAGAGCACTATATTTCAGTGATGAGGATTGTGCTTGGAATCTCCAACTGCATTCATAGTCAGAAAATGAAACTTGTTAATAGACCTCGCGCTAATCAAGGGTAGAAAAGCTTGTATATGTGTGATGGGGCGTTGTTGAGAACATTTGGTAGGGTTGAGAATTGAGCGGCTCAACCTTGTGGTATAGAAAGAAAATACAGTGATGAATGAGCAGATGCAGTCTAAGGCATTTAGGCAAGCAAGTGTTTTCTGTCGGGATTAGTGGTATTGCTACTTGAAAAGTGTGGGTTGATGTGCAAAGGCTGGGTTGTTGCTGCTTTGTTTGCTTCTCTTAGATGGAGTGGTTGTGGCACCATTCCCGCATCTAATAAAATAGATCGTGGTTCATTGATGAACTGTGAGGGGTTTGGCAGCATGTGCTATTGTCCGATGTTCAGTAATCTCCACGTAATTATTTCTTCTATACGATTGTAGCAGTCCGAAGCCCGATCAGTGACGTTGGCGTGAACGGTTATGTAGGGGACAAGTTGCTCTGGCAAATAATGTAGGGTAGGTAGTAGTAGTAGTAGCAGCAGTAGTAGTAGTAGTTTAGTTAGTAGTTAGTTAGTAATAGTCTTCCTACCGAAATGTGTCTCATTCAGGCAAACTTACCTTTTACATGAAACAACTTTTTTATCGTCATTGTGCTGTGAGCAGGGCACTAAGACGACTAACAAACGTTTGCGCATGCCAGTGACAATCGGCTGGTACGTGTATCGTGTTGCCAATCTGAGACCATGAAACAGCCGCAGTAATTTCAGACATGCTAGCGATAACCGTCTCAGTTCTCCCGGGATGTCGTGTTCTTATATCGCGACTGGGACAATTATTGGCAGTCGCACTGACTGTTCACACATTCAAGACCGTCAAATATGACCGCACAATTACTGTGATCATTTGTGATGCAACTGCATTCCTGATCTAAACCCAGCTTGACTTTTTGCGTCTTCGGAAGGCTGCACGACAACTTCCACACCGCGATTTTGGAATTGGGAGTTTATTGTACAATTTCATATCACCCACCAGGATTGATGGAAATGGACAAGGGCTGTTCCATTTTACGTTTCCCTTCAGTGTTTTGATTTGAAAGCCCATAAGCCACACATCATACCAGTATCATTTAGGTTGAAAATTTCTGTGCATGGATCTATCGAAATCTTTAAGTTTATGGACAAGATATGTCCATTGGGTTCCAGTATGAACCACTTACTGTCATTTACGAGTGGACTACTGTAGGCCGATGTACCCTTCGGAGACAGCCAGCTCTTCGCGCATCAGTCAACGAACTTGGTGCAACGCTGCGACGTGTCCGGCGTAGGAACGTGTTCATTAGGTTCTGTAAACTATATATGCGTGTTTTACCAACCTTGCTTGCATTTTATGATTTGTTTATGATGATTGCACTTATTCATTGCTGCGTATATTCCTCGTTCGATGTTTGGCTCAATCCGAGCTGCAGGTTTTCTTTGCATGCACCGCTCTTGTCAGTTTGGTACTGATTTAGGCTCCATGGAAGTGCTGTCCAGGCAAAGAGGGCATCAGCAGTACGCCGGTACGCAGCGTCGACGCTTCGCTGCCCCGCAACTACCACCAGTCACACTTGGGATAAGGATACTGCGAGGGTCGCCCAGTTCCTACGCAAACGCGAACCTGTGAGATCCGGATTACAAGGAAGGCATGTGATCCTTTCGGCTACGTGCCGGCTCTCCAGTGACACTGTTGTTTCTACTGTCTTAAGCCGCATTGATTCGACTAAACTACTCCTAGAATATCACCACTACCTGGCAACTCATGCGTCATACTAACGTTCGCTTTCCTCACTATTTCATGTCTTACGATGCTCTGCCATTGTGTTATAAATACGACGGCGTAGAAGGCATGTTTGCTTCTGACTGAGTCAGTAAGCACATTTTTGCTATCGGCTAGCCTTTTTTCATGGTCTCGGTGCAGTCGTGCGGCCTTACGCGTTTTGACTCCAGTCTGAGCTCTCATGTACTCCCGTATGGATCCCAATTCATTTTGCTGCTGTGTACTTGGAGTGAAAATCGTTTATTCCGTTCCGGCTAGGAGCTCCGAAATGATGACGTTTATAGTAGTTAGGTCCATTCATGAGTTGATCTAGGAATAGCAGAAGATAATCGGTATAATATTTCACCCGACTAGTGCACGTTTTTTTGAATTGAAATTTTTAGCATCGGTTATCTCAAACATTAGACATCGTATGGAATCTATCTTGCTCGGTTCGTTGCCCGTAGTCTTGGATTCTTTGTTTCTTGCGGTTATTATGATTTCCGAGCAGATCTTTTTGCATTTTTTCTAACCCATATTTCCCCGTTACTTTTCCCTCTATCTCCGTCAACTGTCATTACTATGTTGACACATACCTTTGCAACCGACTTGTTTTCTGCCGCATGTTGCTTGTTCTTGATCTTCATCAGCTTCTGCATGCGCTGTTACCGCCATGTTACACGAATCGGTGTCTTCCATCTACTGATTCGCGAATAGGATATCCGCAGAGTGCACATTTTATTTCATGCTGTTCTTTGGATGCATTATGTCTGAGTGTAATCGCTCCATTGGGGCACCGTTACGTGGGTCTGCTCGCCCATTGGCAGCGCTCGTCAATGTGCTGTGGGCCTGTTCCTACTCTATCTGCAATCCCTCAATAAATAATTAATTGCTATTTTGTTATGCGCGGGGCACTTTTGAACACGTCCTCAGTTAATTATATAATTTTCCACGAGCTGATGGTCGCGTGTAGTTCGCTACACTTCAGTTATCGCCGATGTGTGTTCATCAGTTATTTTATTCATATGTTAATAAATAACGATGGTAGCGTGGGGTGTCCAGATTGAATAAGTTCATTAAGTAATCAAGTGCACCTTCTGGTACAGAGTTTGAGTCAGTAAAGCAGGATTGGTATCCATGACATATTCTTCCGAGACGGAAGGCTCAATCCAATGATTCGATGGCGATTCAAGTGGAAAGATTCCCCAGCTGATTAGTTGGTCTGCTAAATCGGACCGTTTGTCGGGCATCATTTGAGGACAGATGAATTATCAACGACTTTGTGCAGAGGACGGCAGGACGACCGTAGCCAAATCGTGGCCACATGGCATCAAGAGATAAGAATTGCTCGCAGCGGCTGTGATCCGTATTGTTGTTACAGGATGATTGGCCGAATAGTTTTTAAGCATGTTTTTGCAGAATGCGGGGCTTGGAGTTGCAACTGATGGATGGACATCGACAGTTGAGCTTACTCTCGAAGATTGCATTCGTTAAAATTGGACCCCCGTGTGGCACCTTATACTTGTTCGTAAACCTCAATTTATGCGTGCTGTATCGTAGGTATGGCTTAGTCTGTGGCTTGATCCTGGCTACCCTTCACCCCCCATCTGAGCCTGGGTTTTCTGTCGTCTTTCGATACTTCATTAGGAGGTGCTACAACAAACCAACTACATCATGCATGACACGCAAGCGCTGAATCATTCTACATCTTACCTTGCCTCTTTCTTCACCCTTCTTATTCCTCAGAATCCAACCCTTTTAGTTGCATTGTAATCAGGCTCCTTGTTTAGTTTTATATATCACGACCTCCGGATTCATTTAATATTTCTACCCAAACCGTTGGGATTCGGTCTCTAATGCAAATCGTCTTCGAACAATCCACATACACTAATTTGTTTTTGGTGTCCCTTCATTTCAGATGTGGATGCCGTTCCGTGGCGATTTCAGTTAGAGGAGCAAACTTTGCGCGCAAACGTCGATCAGTTCAATCGGCGAAGGTATTCAGATGCTTGTTTCGACCCAGAATTGCAGCCGGTTGATAATTCTCTCACCAGTGTCCTCGGTCAACCTTTCAAGCTATCTGATGAATTCAAACGAAATTATGAAAAATGGCTAGAAGAGGAAGTGTTCTCTGTTCCCATCAATTGGTCACAGCTTTTGGCCGGTTGACTAACCTCAGGATAATCGTGTCACTCTTCGCTTTACTACTTCGATTTTCTTCACTGCACTTTCCTTCCCCCGGTTTTCAATGCTCTCGCATTTACCATCTGCTTCGTTTGAATATGAGCAGTGGTTTCACACGTATCCAGTCGAAACGCTTCGTACTTGCCTTTGTTCCTCCAGTCTTTTTTTATGCTAACGCGCTACTCGATCGCCGTTCCCTAGCTTGCCGTTTTTGTTGCGTTGGTGACGGATAGTCTGTACCCTCGGTTCGTCTTACCTTCTCTCACTTGCGTACCATCCTCATGTGGTTCCTCTGCTGTCGCTAAGTCACCACTGTATATGTAGGATCTAATTTACGTTTGCAATTGTCCATGCTCGTTTTCTTGTTCCGTTATGAGATAAATTGGGCCATTACAAGTAAACGAAGAATCCTGATTTGAGCCCAGTGTGGATGGTTCGGTTATTTATAACCACACGTGCCGGTGGCATTGAACGGCCCATTTTCGTTCGGCTTGCCACATGTTTCACGCGCACTCTAGCTCTCGGTTACTTGTTACTCTCATCATCCCTTCATACGTTTCCTTGTTTTCGCTTTCTTGAGTAGCACTTATCCACCTATGTTATACCACTTGACTTCACATGATTTCTGTTTGATGCAAAAATTGCATTGTTGGCATAAATTCTGAGTCATTCTCCTAACTCCGTACACCTCCGTATCCTCGGACTGTCACTGTGTCGCGCTCTTCAGGGACCAAGGGGAATGCACACAAATTTCGTCTTAGCTTACAAGCATCCATCACGACGAGACTGGACCGTAACACGGTGCGATGGTTTGTGTGCCACAGAGAACCATTCGGCTATGCTGGGTGGTGCTTTTGCACCTTCAGAGCCACTCATACCATGTCGGTCAGTGGTTAGAGGCCAGACAAACAGTCTCCTGGCCCTCCAGGTTGGGGGTTGGATTGAGAGTGGCCCCTTACTCCATAAAACGGGCTCTATGTAGCCCAGTGCCAAAACACCGCTGCCTTTCGGTCAGGTTTTTAAACCAATGGCTTTGGTTGGGAACCCTGATCCTTCCTCTGTCTGGACCTAGACAACCTGACAGTATTCTGCCCGTGTAATACAACACCATGACTTTTCCTGCTAACTCTCTCTTGGTGCTCCGTCCGTCGTAGATGATAATCAACGACCCCCTATCTACTGCATCCATCAAGGTGGATAGGGTTTGGATGCTACTGCTCAAGCCTTCCCGTCATCTTATCCGCCCTTTTCCATTTTTCTTCCTTATCGTCCCGTTCCAACTTCACTTTATCCCCCCTGTTTTCAACCCCATAATTCCTGGCCCTCCCCCATCATTGTTCAGTGATCGTTTATCTTCTAGTTTCGACTCACACAAACGCAGGGTGTCACTCTGGTCCAGTCGGTAAGTTCACGTCTAACCAAACGGCCAACGTAAGGTCATCTGCTTCTATTTGGAGTGCTCGATCCTCCTTAAGACTGGCATGCTTCAAAATGCGCACTTTGTTGCAGATTGGCCAACATGCAGCACTTGGCCGAACAGGCGTCGGTTGGTGTATCCCGACTGCCGGGCTTTCTCCGAAGGACGATGAACACGTTGGTTTGGATACACCAGCTGACATGGCGAAGTGCCGACCTCAGTGACGTTTATGTTGTGAGTTTCTTTGTCCACGACCTTCCCTCCGGCTTCCCCCTCCAGCAACGATCTCAAATTCTATGCGTAATGTGATATTTAGCATTTTGTCACTTTTTATAGCTTTTTCGGCTATCTTGTTTAATTATATCTTTTTGTATTATGGAACATCCGCTAACGTGTATCGATGATGATGACGAGACTACAGGCTTTTATTGTATCAGAAAGCACCCAATACACGGCATAAGTTGTCCGTTGTCTCATGATTACTGTTCCTTTTCACGTGGCCGTTAATTCTACCCTACTTTCCACGCTTCCGCTACTGCTGCTTTCGTCTTTCGCCAACTCCCATCACACACCAACACTTCATTTGTTGTCAATCTCACCTCCGTTGATTCTATCTCTGATCCCAGTTTTGCCGACACCCGAAAAGCTCATTCGACGACCATACTTGGTCCCCGATATACGTTCCCATTGGCCTACTTCAACGGACGAACACTTATGCAAATTGGCCAGCAGACCGGCCTGTCGCGTACTCTGGAGTCTCTCGCTATTGACGTTTGCTGGGTTTCCAAAACCCGGTTGCAGCATCCCAGCAGTGTGCTCAGATTGATGTCTCCTTCTGATCGTCTATCCACGGACACAAAAGCAGCTGCATCAGGTTTAGTTAGCATTGGGGTACCACTAAGTAAGAAACCTGAAGTTGCCTTGCTCGACTGGTTTCCAGTTAACAGTTGGCTATGCGCAGTTCGGATTCAGGGATCATGTTGTTCAGGCATGGCGAGGAAACACGCAACTTCTTTGTCATTTCTGTTTGCACCGCAACTGACTGCAGCCGCGACCCTGTCAAGGATGATTTTTTTTACCGCCAACGTCTCTTTCGAGTAAAGTGGACGAGTAGGATGTCGTTATACTTGCCGGCGATTCTAATGCACGACTATTTTGCCTGCTTCCATATGAAGACCACCTGAGGGGTCATCAGGCGCCTAACCAGAGACACAGATAACAGAGACTGGCTTTTCACATTGTGCAAGCATAACCACCTATTTCTCCCAGGCATCAATTTCAGGTATAACAAGTGACGTTCCGCAACTTAGCGCTCTCCGTCGCCAACACAATTCTTGTCCCTGATCGACCACATCGCAGTCAGTTCCCGTTGGCTAGGTAATATACAGCACCGCAACTCATTCTGGTCATTCTACTTTGACTCAGATCAAGCGCTGATTTATGCGAACATCTACGTGCGCTTCGGTGGGTCACGGAAACAACTGCACCGTAAGACTGACGTAAACAGGTTAGTTGACACCTCTGTCCAACGGAGCTATCAAGCTGCACTACCGGATGCTCTCACCTGTAACCCACCTCAGGATTTTGAGCGATGCTTTCCTCCGATCAGTCACTGTATGATCTCCCCCGTTGCAAAGTTGAATCTCCGCTATCTCACTGGAACTATCTGACCGCCGTCAAAATGTTTCACTTCATTGTTCTACCTGCGAGACTCTCAATCGGCAACTCAAACAAAGCATGCATGATAGCCGTGAGACTTGATGTTCTCAGCGTGCCTCGGAGATGGGAACCGCTGTTGTCTCCGGCAATTTTCGCCAGCTGTTCCAGTTCATTCGGTTCACCGGCCCCAGAAGGTTTGGTATTAGTGTGAGTATCTGTGAAGCGGATAGGTCACGTATCACTAATCTGTGAAGATGCGTAGAGCGTTGGGCCGAACATTTTCTCTCCCAATTCCATCATCTTCCATTGCCCGCTTGTATGCCAAGTACACCCAATTGCTTGCTTTGGGTCATTTCATTGGATGCACCTAACGAAGCGGAGGTCTTCGTCGAGACTCGACTTCCTAGTTGATTTCTGCCTCCCGAGTCTGACCAATTTCCTTCGGGTATGTTCACGTTTGGTGGCTTAGCACTTATCAAGCAGTTTGCATTGCTGTTTTCCAAGATATGACACGATATGATTCCATCCTCCTTGGGTGAATCAGTAATTGTCCCTATTTTCAAAAAAGATGCTCGCACATCATTTACCAATCACAAGGGAATCAGTCTCATGCCGATTGCTTCCAAACTGGTGGCATCCATTCTGCTCAGTAGATTATTCCCGATCCACGAGTAACTTTACCGCGAAGAACAAACTGACCTTCACTCCCGTCGAGGATGTGTGGACCAGATATTCACGCTACGCCAACTCTTAGAACTTCGCCACCCTTACCACGGGCCAACCATTGTTGTCTTCTTGTACATTCGAGCTGCATTTGACTCGGTCGATCCACCTGCTTTATAGCACTTTGTTAAGAAATGGAGTCCCCGAAAAGTACACTTCCATCATTCAGGCGCTTTACTTCCAAGTGTCAAGTAGAGTGAGGATCTTTGACAGACCTTACTCACCGTTAGTTATCACTAGTGGAGTGCGACAGGGATGCGCTTTTTCCCCATTCCTCTACAAGTTTGCACTTGAGGACGTCCTGTTGAGATCTCTGGAAGGCTCTCAGAATCTTGTTGTTGAGCTTTTTCCTGGTAACAGCCTGACCGACATAGATTATCCTAATGATATCGCTCTGCTCAGTGACGATTCACACTGTACAGGTCATTTTAAAGCGTCTATGTGTGGCATACGCCTTTCTGCCTTGGAGTGTAAAGTGCTGCTCCATGACGGAGTCGTTTGCCCCCTCACTTACCAGTGAAGGAACACAGCTAGAGCTTGTGGACAACTTTGTCTGCCTCGGAAGCTGTATTTCTGCTGATGGCACTATTGGGAAGGAGGTATCTCTTCACATCGCCAGAGTCCGGTCGGCATTTGCCAATCTGAGTCATTCATTGCGTCGTTGGGACATGTCCCTCTTTTTAAAGCGGTGGGTTTACAATGCGTGTTTCCCCCGGTCCTGTTGTACGGAAGTGAGTCGTGGCCGATCCATGTGGACGATATCCGTCCACTTTCGATCTTTGACAATACATGTTTGCAGAGGATGGCCTGTAGGTGGTGACAGCACCCCCTCATGACGAGATTGGACTTTAACATGGTGTGACGATTTGCGTACCTCGTCGACCCATTGAGGTATACTGGGTGGGGTCCTTGGGCCTCTTAAGAGCTACTCATACCAGGTTGGTCAATGGTTAGAGGTCAAAGAAACAGTCTCCTGGTCCTCTAGGTTGGGAGTATGAAATGGGACGGCGCCCACTTCTACGAAACCGAATTGTTGCCACATCCGCTGCCTTGTGGACAGGCTCTTGAACCAAAGACATTGCTTGAGGACCATAGACGTTCTCCTGTCTATGTCTGGGTGACCTGACAGTATCTCAGCCCAAGTACAACCATGACTACTTTTTCAAACTTCTGTCCTATCCTGCAT